TGACTACAGAGAACATCAGGAATTGGAGATTTCGTTATGAGTTGGCTGAGTGAGTATCAGAATAATTTACTGGGAATGAATCTTATATTGTCTACAACCCAGTTTAAACCAATTACATATAAATGAAACTGTGAATATTATAGTAATCTAGATAGTACTGTCAGATAAAAACAGTTGGCCCATTTAGTCTTTCCATTTTAAAATTTGACTGATTGTTTTGCTTTTTATAGTAACCTTATACACATCCTGAGCATTCTTCAATTCCTTTTTCCTTTACTGTGTTAGCCTTATACACATCCCAAGCATTCTTCAATTCCTTTACTGTGTTAGCCTTATACACATCCCGAGCATTCTTCAATCCCTTTACTGTGTTAGCCTTATACACATCCTGAGCATTCTTCAATTCCTTTACTGTGTTAGCCTTATACACATCCTGAGCATTCTTCAATCCCTTTACTGTGTTAGCCTTATACACATCCTGAGCATTCTTCAATCCCTTTACTGTGTTAGCCTTATACACATCCCGAGCATTCTTCAATCCCTTTACTGTGTTAGCCTTATACACCTCCTGAGCATTCTTCAATTCCTTTACTGTGTTAGCCTTATACACATCCTGAGCATTCTTCAATCCTATTACTGTGTTAGCCTTATACACATCCTGAGCATTCTTCAATTCCTTTACTGTGTTAACCTTATACACATCCCGAGCATTCTTCAATCCCTTTACTGTGTTAGCCTTATACACATCCTGAGCATTCTTCAATTCCTTTACTGTGTAAGCCTTATACACATCATGAGTATTCTTCAATTCCTTTACTGTTACCTTATACACATCCCGAGCATTCTTCAATTCCTTTACTGCGTTTGCCTTATACACATCCGGAGCATTCTTCAATTCCTTTACTGTGTTAGGAACATCCGGAGCATTCTTCAAATTCGTATATTTCCAGTTCATCCACAGTGTGGGAATTCTATAAATAAATACATTAAAATATATAAATCTGTTTTTTTGTTTATTGTAAAATATTTGGACCTGCTGAGTCCTAGAATGTTTTGCTTAAAATGCTCTGTTAACTGTAGTAAAATGTTGGAATAATTGCATTTGCTCAATACAATAAATCCATTATATTTTTCAGGCAGCTAATTTTGATTTTAGAGCTGTATAACCCCAAAGATGTGTACGACTACTTGCGAATCATTGCACTGACATTGTGCTCAGACAAAATATCCGAGGTGCGATGGATCTCTTTCAAACTGGTAAGTAACCGTAAATCGGTAGGAAGGATGATTGTGTAATCGGTGGGAATCCCCCCAGCTGTTTGGATTTCATTTTCTATACTCTGATTATCTCCGATTAACCCCTGTACATACCAGCCGTTCTGTAAATCCTAATAGAATCACATGCTTTGTACTTTTATTTAGTTTGTTTTATATTATTCTGGGATCAATTAGTAAATGTAGTGAGTTCTGTCTAACTTGTGAAGAACAGTGTGTGTTTTAATGTGTTCTTTTTTTTCATGCAGGTTGTAGCAATATTACACAAACTTTATTCAAACGGCGAAAATCAACTGGGTATTAATTTCATTAACGAGCTCATTCTCCAGTTCCGGCATTCTCCCAAGTGGGTGGGACGCCAAGCATTTGCTTTCATCTGCCAGGTATTTTCCTTTATTTAGCGAGCCACGTTTAGACCATGAATGCCCCATGTTGCTGTGCGTATCGCCTGCCCCCACTAAGCCACAGAGCTGGATTTACTGTGAAAACCCAACTGTTATTCATTGAGAGGGGCGAACTGATAGCGGGATTGTGGCTGGAGGGTTGCGTTTCACTGAGCGTGTTGTTGTTTGTTTTTTTTCAGGCCGTGGTGCAGGAGGAGTGCATCCCCGCAGATCAGTTCGCTTCACACTTGTTACCTAACCTGCTCAGCCTGGCATCGGACCCTGTGCCCAATGTCAGAGTGTTGTTGGCAAAGGCTCTGAAGCAGACTCTGTTGGAGAAAGGTGAAGTATTCCTGGTTGAAAATAATAATCTGAAATCTTTATTAATACAATAGAGGGCCATTATTGTATGGGATGTAGGATCAATAATCTGTAGGGGTAGAACACTCACAGCAAAGCTTGCTCCTCCCCTCTACCTGAAACCTCCAACCAATCAGGTGAGATGGCAGAACACTCCCAGCAAAGCTTGCTCCTCCCCCTCTACCTGAAACCAATCAGATGAGATGGCAGCACAATCTCAGCAAAGCTTGCTCCTCCCCCTCTACCTAAAACCTCCAACCAATCATGTGAGATGGCAGAACATGCCTTGAAAAGCTTGCTCCTCCCCCTCTACCTGAAACCTGCAACCAATCAGGTGAGATGGCAGAACAGGCCCTGAAAAGCTTTTCTCCTCCCCTCTGTGCTCCTTTTCCTGGAACCCCCATCCCACCAGGACTGGCAGAAGTCACCCAGCATGTAATAGGAATAACCATTACAGATCCGGAATGTGGTATATTGTAATTCAGCCCTTATTTTGCTGGATTGCTGTTGGCGTGAAGTCTGTTCTGGGATGGAGGATCTGGATGGTCACTTTCCCCTGTAGTATAGAAAGATTTAACGAGGAGGAAAACACCCCTACTCTCCAATACAGCATCTACAATGCACGCCCTGTAGCTGCTGTGATTATTTTTATGATAAGTATGTTTCATGCTCTGCTAGAAGAATAGAATCATTCTCAGATGTGCTGGCAGCGTAAAGCCAGTGTCTTGATGTCATGGGAGAGGTAAGTCCTTTCTGAGTGCGTGTTCGCAATCACGGGCAAACTTCTCCAGTGGGAGAATGGGGGGAGTGGGTGTTTCATTAGTGTAACATCCACAAACCATGAATGATGCCTGTGGTGTCAGCACTGGCCAGTAGACGAGTAACTGCTTTTTATTACCGTCCTGACACTTACACATGGTTATGTACGGCACTGTCTTTCAGCGTACTTCACCAGCCTGGGTAACCCGTATCTGGACGCTGTGGAGAAAACCGTGCTGACTATGCAGCTGGACCGAGATCAGGATGTACGTTTCTTCTCCAGCACTGAGCCAAAGCGGCACATTACCTCCTCTCCAACAGAGCAGTCTGTGGACTGATTTCCAAACCCAAACATGTCTTTTCTAAAACCTTTCCCAATTCTAGAATAACTCCTGCTCCTCACTCATTAACGGCATGGGAAACACTATAAGGCAATGAAAAATATATATCTAGAACTGCTTTATTTAAAAAACAAAAAAAACAATTAAGAAAACGCAGAAAAAAATGTAAAAAAAACATAGAAAAGCCACAAAAAAATAATAATTGTAATGCACGTAGCTTATACGGTGGCTGAACATGCGGCTCACTCTATCTATCCCTTGCTTGATTACCTGTTCACTAACAACCGCAGGAAAAAGGGCTTAACCAGGAAATCATTAGTGCAATCTGACGCTCTGTTTTTGTGTAAATACATGTGTAAGATGACAACCTGTAAAGAATTTACTTCTGTATATGTTTTTGAATATATTTTATATATTTTTTTTATCAAAACCTGTGGATGAGAAAAAAAAAATTATTAAATGATTTGGATTTGACCCTTAAGCTTTCTATCCATGGACAATGTCATTTCTCTCTTTTTTATGTGTTTATTTTTTAACTACCACGTCAGCAATAAATAATATTAAATAATGGGTTGGCTTCTTCCCACAGAGCAGAATGGACCAGACACAGAACTCTGAAATGAGAATAACTAATGTGTCCTCCTGTCCTGCACAGCAGTTAGGAAGGAGCAAGGCTATAGCAGGCCAATATGTTATATTGTGCTCACCGGGCCAATATGTTATATTGTGCTCACCGGGCCAATATGTTATATTGTGCTCACCGGGCCAATATGTTATATTGTGCTCACCGGGCCAATATGTTATATTGTGCTCACCGGGCCAATACGTTATATTGTGCTCACCGGGCCAATATTTTTTTATTGTGCTCACCGGGCCAATATTTCTGCAGGGCAGACCAGGGCTCAGTATTTTTTCCATGAAGACCCAACAAACAGCACATATGCAGGAGTTGGTCCCTGAATGTACCCCTTTTTAGTTTCTGGGGTTCTGACCTCAGCTCCCTCCTTAAAGAGATCCCATTGGTATAGAAAATGTATAAGGCCCCGTGGGAGTGTATAAAGCCAGGTAGGGGTGTATGAGGCCACGTGGGATAGTGTAAGGCCCTGTGGCTTGCGTCATTTAATCAGATTAAGCTGTCGGTTGTTTGAATCCCCATTTGCTATTAAATACAGCCATCTATCTGCCTCTGGGCGCTTTGTGTTTTTCCCTTCTCCGGTGAGTATATTCGTTTAGATAACTGAGTAGTAAATGTTTTTATTCCAGTTTTGTTCTTCCAGCTACAATTTTTTATTTTTTTTATCCTTATCACATTTCTAGGTTGTAGGTGAGCATCTCGGTAAGTTTTATACGACCATTCTTATTTTATAAACCAGCTGGCTATCCTGACTGTCAGATCTGCCTAAATACCGCAGTCCAACACTTGTTTCAATCAAGGTACAAGGCAATGAGTTGGTACCTGCAGGACTCATGTCCTGGGGAATAAAGTGTGGGAACTCACCCAAGATCCACCTGCACCCCCAAAAAATTTAATTATTCACTTGTATGCATATATTTAGCTGGGTGAAGGGGTGACTGTGTGTGGTGGCTAAAAGTGATTAGGTATGGTGATATTGTATGGAGGGGGTGTCAGTGTGTGTATGGGGATGATAGTGTGTGTGGGGAGGTGACAGAGCGCTTGTATGGGGGGAGTGACAGGTTTGTTGGGGGAGGCTGTGATGGTGTGTGGGGAGACAGGGTGGGGATGGCTGTGACAAGGTGTGGGTAGGAAGGCTGTGAGAGTGTGGTGGAGTAGGTATGGGTTTTGTAAGGTTGGTAGGGGGGTTGTAAGGTGGGTAGGGGGTCTGTAAGTGGTTAGGGGGGGCTGTATGATGGCTAGGGAGACTGTGAGTAGGTCCGGGTTTTGTAAAGTGGGAGCTTATACTCTATTTTTCTCTGCTTGAGGACTCTGTATTTGGCAATCTTTTTATTTACGTCAGTGGTATGGTTCTTGCTACTCCAAGCATAATAAGTTCTAGAGCCTGCTGCATTAGTTATGATGCTCGAAGTACCCTGACATGTTTTGCCATCGCCCAATGAATGAAATTCTATAATAGTATATGCACAGAATTGACATTAACCATGCCAGAATTCTCGCTCCATGTTTGCTGCCGCCGCCGGAGGTGGAGTTACAAAGTTAGTCTACATATCTCAGAATGTGCAGAATTTGTACACACGGTCCTTGCACCATGACCAATTCACTTGAGCACCCCTTTAAGAAGTTCTTTACTAGAATCTCCAAGTGTAGGCTTCATCCAGATCTTACATTAAATGGGGACATGGTGTTCCCAGATCAGATTCTGTAAAACTGGTGCTCTGCAACTGCTTGTTACTTGTGGAATAGCTTTTATTCTCTTTAACAATCATCATTTAATTCCTGAATAGCAAGATTTATTTCTCATGGCTTGTTCTGATATTAAAATTAGACTTTCCAGGGTGTCCTACTATATGAATTAACCTACATAGCCCATGTGTACAATATAATATAAATATCCAAATATTTGGATTAGTCCTGTAGGGCCTCTTTAGGATGATTCCTTAAAACATAGCTGTGTCCTTTTACCAAGAAATGTAACTCCACCCCCCCCCCTCCCAAATATTTAGTAGATATACCCCCAATTAAATCATGCATGCGTTTTTCATTGGGGGGTGGTGGACGGCGTTTATATGCAAAAAACAGCTTGTAAAAGCTGCAGTTCTGTTGTCTGCAGCCTTTGCAAGCCCTCCCCTTCTAGCCCTGCCCGGACTTTCTGTGGCTGTCCAATCACAGACTCCCCAATGCAGATCAGTGAGAAGTCTTTGCAAGGCAGGTGCTCTGGGCAATTGCTGCAGCTTGAGTAACAGCAAAACAAACCAGAAAGTAACCGGATCGGCTGTCTGACTGCCAGGGGATGTTACAAGATTAATTTATAAAATAGACAATTTATGTTAAAAGCCGAACTTTTTATAAAAAGACACTCTACACATAAAGCACTTAAGCAGAGCTAAGCTGCATTATGTGTGTAGTGTTCCTTTAATAAATGAATGTTGCTTTCTCTTTATGTCCCTCACAGCTGCAGCATCCTCTCCCTACGTTAATAAGAGCTCATGTGACTCCAGCTTATATAGAGGCTGGGCCACATGCTGCACTGGCCAATCACAGCCATGCCATTAGTAGGACATGGCTGTGATGGCTTCTAAGGGCACACGAGTCAAACGCTTGTTGATTGGCTGCCCTGCAGCTTTTCAAAACGCATCACCGAACCCGAACTGTTACTGAAATGTCCGGGTTTGGGGTAAAAAATCGCAATGTTTGGTACGAACCCGAACTTTATAGTTCAGGTTCGATAAACTCGGTCAAAAGCACTATTTCCTGAGAAAGTATCCATAGTATTTAAATGGTGTTGCATTTGATTTTATTAAATGAAACCTATATGTAACAGTGTGTTCTATTGCTACTTTAGTTTATTAGATCATAAATTCAATATACAATGGTGTGTTTCCCCCCTCTATAATGATCCAATGTCCAGATCTAGCGATGTATGCTCTCATTTTATCAGGGTTAGTCACTGCACTGGGAATCTTCACAAATTTAATCCAAATAGCAGCAACTGCCACCTTGTGACTGGGGCAGAGTTGTGGATTTTTTTCCTTATGGAACCCAGGTTTCGGTACCGATTTGAAATACATTTTCTCTATATTACAGAAGTGTTTCTTTTGTTATTATTGAAAACACAGAAAAAGAAAGGATTAGCATTATGCAACCAAACTAAATTATAAGGAGAAGAATGGGGCTCCCTAACAAACCCCAAAAAGGATCGGACAATACAGCAAAAGGAGAGGCAGGATGCGCCAATAACATTGTAACAAAAGGTATAACCAATGGGAGATAGATACAGAAGAATAAAAACCAATAGTAAAAAAAGGTTTAAAATAACCAATAAAATGTTCAAATAAATGTGCAAACTTGCGAGGAGAACAGCTAAATCTTGTAGGAAAGTCTCTTCTCTATGGAGGTGCCAGATCAGGAAATGCTTGGGCTCCGTATCAATATACAAAACCCAATAGTGTAGTATATCACGATAATATAAGGTACTAATAATTTGTAGATCTTATGTAGCCCTACTCACGTTTTCTAAAGCTAGAACCAACTCTAGTATGAATGGCGTACAGTAATATAGTCCCTACTTATAGCATATGTGCGATGATGTAGTCATCAGATACCACAGCAATATGGGGACCATAAAGCCACCCATAAACCAGAAAACAACAATAGTGCTCTATGTGTAAACGGAGCCAGGAGAAATAAATAAGACATTTTACTCACCTTTAATTGAGCAGGTAAACCGCTCAATGGAGAAGGCATGAGTGATAGAACTCCCACCTAGGATATTTTAGTGAGGTCATCACTGAACTGAAGAACAATTAATCTGCTAACCCAGCATGCTGCCTGATTGAAAGTGACATTGCTCATACCAGTCCCTGCTCATCGGCTGAGAGCGCCCCTACCTGACCATGCTCATTGGCTGAGAGTAGCCCCTACCTGACCCTGCTTATTGGCTGAGACCACCCCTACCTCGCCCTGCTCATTGGCTGAGAGCGCCCCTACCTGACCATGCTCATTTACTGAGACCACCCCTACCTGGCCCTGCTTATTGGCTGAGAGATCTCCTACCCGCCCCTGCTCATTGGCTGAGAGAGCTGTACCCGGCCCTGCTCATTGGCTGAGAGATCTCCTACCCGGCCCTGCTCATTGGCTGAGAGAGCTGTACCCTGCCCTGCTCATTAGCTGAGAGAGCTGTACCCGGCCCTGCTCATGGGCTGAGAGAACTCCTACCCGCCCCTGCTCATTGGATGACAGTGCCCCTGCCCATCGACTGAGTGCTCCCACCTGGCCCTGCTCAATGTCTGACACTGCAGCTCCTACCCAGACAGTACATTAAAAAGACAGCATAATATATCAAATAACATCTCTCGCCCTGAAATTAAAGTGTGAAATTATTTAAAAGTCTGTATTTGGCATTGTGATTTACTTGCACACAAACCTTTGATCTATTATGTCCATTCAATGATTGTAAAAATCCGTCATTAAGTGAACACTCCAAGCACCATAACCACTACAGCACACTGTACAGGATCACTCTCCTTGATTGAGGACATTCGTCGGCTCTCAGCAGGTGTCCAACAGGACCCAGGTAAGGTGGCAGGTCATTTAAAAAAAATGTTCTATTCCAGGACAGCACAAGGGGATTCCTAGTACCACAACAACTACAGCAGGCTATAAAGGTTATGGAACTTGGGAGTGTTTGTTTATTAATAAACATTATAAAAACATTTCCCCATACTCCCTTTTCTGCCTAGAGTAGTGCGTTTCAGCTGAACAAATAGCAGTCTGTAAAATAAATAAATGGTGTGACGTGCCAAGCATCCTATATTCCCAAACTGATAGGTAAAGCTTTTACTGCAACATTTTCTTAGTGTTAGAAGAGGATCCCAGATTAGATTTTTCCAGTGCTTTATTGGGGCTAAAGGTGCCAAACTTTCCTCCGTCAGGTTCTCATTTACAATCTGGAAGATCCACGTAATTCAACACCGTCCTTTAGGGAGCAATATTCTCGTCACTGATGAAAGTTTGCAAAGAAACGTTGAGGTAAATAAAAGGACTTGTGCACAGGGCAAGCTTTTAGTTTTAGCTGAACGAATTCAGATGGAAATAAAGCATGGTTTGAAATAAATTTCATCCATCATTTTTGCTGAAAATTGTCCAATACTGATATTGTTGGTTCGGACTAATTAAATGCCGGCAAATCGTTCAGTGGTTTTTAAGGGGACCAAGTTAGGGAGAGAGCTGTGTAGTAGATGGCTCCCTATTTTGATATCCTTAAATTTGACAATGCCAAATAAAATACCAAAGTAGGGAGCTATCTACTAAGCAGCTGAAAAACAAATTAGGAAAAGGGCATCTCTTCATATATATTTTTTTTAAGTGTTTAGCCTTTAGTATAATCGGTAACCAGGGGAGGGCTGGCAGCCTCAGGCCTGGGGTGGGGGCAAAAACAGTCAAGTGGCCCATTGCACGAATCAGCTCACCATCCATTCCCACCTTTTCCTGGTTTTATAACAGATATTGATGTTATGCTAATCAGTAGCTCTTTGCCATACTCGCTCCTTCACGGCTCTGACTTTCAATGTTGTCAGAGCGCAGGCTGAGAATCTCTGAGCCTGTGCTCTGACTCACTAACTGAGCGCCGGAACCACGAGGGAGAGGCTATAATCTGACTGCACCTACTGCTGGTGTGCACCAGTGGACCACCAGCGAATCATTTAAATTAAATATGCTGGTGTCCCAAACTTGTGAGATGTGTTGGGCCGTGCGCCTCTGTTGTCATGGCGCCCTATGTGACCCCACAGCTTACACACCTCAAAGGCTGGCCCTGCAGACAGACACACACACACAAACCCTGACAGACACACATTCACTGACAGGCAGACACTTGACAGACACACTCGCTGACACACACACACACACACACACACACACACTGACAGACACCAGTGCCATCTTAACAACATTATGGGCCCCTGGGCAAAGCAGTGCACTGGGGCCCTGCCTACACAACTTACAGGAATAAAAACGTAAATTATAGATACAACGAAGATTATATTTATAAGTACCTCCAACAAATGCAATGCATACATACAATACATACACACCGACTGATGAATACACGCATACAGACTGATGAATAAACACACACACACAGACTGATGAATAAACACACACACACTGTTGACTACACACACAGACTGCTAAGTACACATAGAGAGTGCTGAATACAAACACACACAAACATACACACAGATGGCTGAATACACACACACACTACAGTGAGGGGTGCAGTGTATGTGTTTGTATGTACGAGTACGGTGTGTGTGGGGTGCTGTGTGGGTGTGTGGAGTGCTATTTGTGTTGGGTGCTGTGTGTGTGTTTGAGGGGTGAAGGTAGCAAATGATTTAGTTTTTTTAATACTAATATACATTAAATAAAATCTATATGTCCCCCCCACCCTTCTTCTCACCTTTGGTGAAAGAGGCTGGGACACAGCCAGCCCTGGTGGTCCAGTTGTGAATTCTGTACAGCCTGCAGCTTGTCTGGCTGCTGGCTCTCCTGCGCACAGAATGCTGTGTGGAGCATTGCCATGGTAATGCGCGGCAACGCTCCACACAGCCTGCTTGCGGGAAGTCCTAGCTACCTCTCTCCCCGATCGATGGGAGATCTCCCTCACCGGCCAAAGGGGGCCCACGGCCAGACAACATGTCCACCTCTCCATTGGCCGGCAGGGGAGATCAAAAGGCCGGGCATGCTGGGAAGAGCGGTAGGGCCCCCATGCCTGTGGGGCCCACAGGCAACTGCCCAGTGTGCTCGTGCGGAAAGACGGCTGTGACACACACAAACACTTCCAGACACACTTACTTTCAGACACGCACAAATTAATTATATTTCTTGTTGCTCCTACCTTTAGGAGTCCTCTGGTGCATCTCCCCAGGGTCCAGTGTCTTCGATGCTCTTTGTAACGGATCACCTGGCACCCCGACTGGGTACCTCCGTTGAAGGATGCTCTTAGCGCTTCCTGAGGACTCCAAGCACTGCAGCAGACACCACAACCACCAAACCGGAGAAGCATATGAATGCTCTCAAGCATATGAATGCTCTCAAGCATATGAATGTTGTATACAGCTGAATAGGAAAAACATGCGAATAGGTTTACACTCCTAGCAGTCAAACTGGAACAGCATACAATGAATCCTCCCCCAATAATGAGACGACACTTCACTTTGAGGGTTAAGCATGAACTAACTGGACTGGCACATACAGCCTCTTTTATTCCCAATCCACAAATTTAGTACTGCCCACAGGGTTTTACAGAACAACCAATAACACGTACAATACACTCAGACACTCCCACACAAAATCCTCCCCTCTGCCTGTGATACAATTACCTTACACAATGGGTAATCTAATTATCACAGACAGAGAAATACAGTTTCATAAAACACATCACAGGGACCCCAAAACATGCAATAACCCCATAAAAAGTATATCCTTGGAACCGGGGGATCTGGGTGAACCGTTCAGTACTTTGGAAGATACAGTTTAATGCAGATTCTGCAGAACATATACAGGCTAAATGAAAAACAATCACAGTATAATGTGTCCCCTGCTGTATAGTCCAAAACCACTGCACGCTGTCTCTGTGCACCAAATACTGGCGAGATGACACCGTGTTGAAAAGTCCAAACAGTGTCTGTGAGTTAAAATGGCCGCCATCCATTGTTCTCACCATGTGCTTCATCCATTGTTCTCACCATGTGCCTCTGATACAGGAAATGGTGGCCACCCAGTAACTCCACAGTATGTCCCCAGATGGTTCTTAAAGGGCCAGCAGCAGCACAACACAAATCCATTATGCCCAAATCATGTCTTTAAAGGGCAATACATCCCAGGGGCCATAGTCACATGGCAGGAGGCTGGCAATCAGTCTTCTCCAATGCCCAGTGGCGAGGTCGGTTTCGTCACATTTCTCCCCTTTCCCAAAAAGACTAACAAGGTATCTGACCTCCTGTCGGTCAGTGCCTTGGTTAGTCCAGCAACCCACCCACAAAACATAGTCAGTAGTGCAGCCCACCCACAATGAAAAGTTACTGTACCTGAGGTAGTGGGTAGCTTGTCCATTTCCAGGGGCTCCACCGCGGGTCTGGGGAGTACTAGCCCTCCGGATTGGTGGGTTGCTGCGTGGGCAGAGACCAGCGGTACTCTGCCCAGGTGCCAGCGCTACCACAGGAGTAGCCTGGTTGGGGCTCAGCTGAGGAGAAGGGTTAGTAGGCTCCTCCCTCTGGACCTGGTGTTGCTGCTGGAGGGGAAGACAGGCTGTCTCCCCTTTGGATAAACTGCCCTGCTGCTGGGGGACAGGACCGACCGTCCCTACCCCCTGTGGTTTGGGCAAAGAGACCACGGTCCCATCTGCACCGGTGTGGGGCTTATCATCTCCCCTTGGTGGGCTAGGCTGCCGCTGGGGAGGGGGAATGAGACTCTCCCCTCCCGGTAGAATTCTCTGCCGCTGTGGAGCAGAACCGACTGTCCATACTCCCGGTAGCTTGGGCGCAGAGACCACGGTCCCAACTGCGCTGGTGGGGGGCTTAGTGTCTCCCCATGGTGGGCTACGCTGCCACTGGGGAGAGGGGGTAACAAACTCCTCTCCCTTACACACGTTCAACCGCTGGGGAGAGGGGGTAACAGGCTCCTCTCCCTGACTCTCTGCTGGTGGAGAGGGGGACTGACTGTCTCTCCTTTCAATATATTGTCCTGCTGCTGGGAAACGAGACCGACTGTCTCTGCTCCCTGCAGGACACACTGCCGCTGGGGAGGGAGGACGGCACCTTCGGCTCCCTGTGACTCACTGGACTGCTGGGGAGAGGGACCAACTGTCTCCTCTCCTAAGGGCACACTCTGCCGCTGGGGAGGAGGGACAATACCTTCGGCTCCCTGGAACTCACACTGCCGCTGGGGAGGAAGGATGACACCTTCGGCTCCCTGGGACTCACACTGCCGCTGG